GAATCCTTGGTTCACATCAAACCCGTCTTCAGGAATCCGAGGGTATGGACTGTAATGGCACATTCAGAGGCTGACGGGCACCAGCTATAGCAAACCTACCCATGGGCTTGGTGCACGCAAGTGTACTTGGTAGCATGCTGTGTTTAGCATAGCAGACACCTCATCTCTTCTCATGAGAAAGAATCAAACAGTACGCAAATTCTAAGACCAGAGAGACGCCTTCCAAAGTGGCCCGCTGCTATAGTGAGCACTGCAGGCTGAGTCCAGCAAAGCGTCCCACATCCAGAACCAGCTCACAGACTTTTGGGGTCCACGTGCCATTCCATACCCTGCTTCTGGGCTGTGGGTGCCACAGAGAGAAAGTCAGATAAGGCCACACCCCCCAAGAACTGAGATCCCACAGTGCAAGTGGGAGAGGATAGGGAGACAACAAGATAATAAATTAAGAAACAAGAAGACTGTCAAAGTGCAGCAACGGCTATGCAGTTAATCCACTATGGGAGACACCGAAATGACTAATTTAGACCGGATTGTCAGAAAAAGACTCCTCAGGGCAGTGAGCCCTTTGCTCTAGATAAGAAGGTGCCTCCCACTGAAAATCAGCTAATCAGCGGCAGCCAGAGAGGCAGCAGTAGCCAACCAAGGACTGCAGCCCCGACCCAGGGTGCGGGACTGCACCCTGTCTCTTCCCAGCCCCCAACCCGGAGGAGCCAAAAGCAAAGGAGCTACAAAAAAGGCAGGAAGGAAGCCACAGGCTCAGTCCTTACTACAGGCTCCCCAAGGCATGGGGCCCACAGGAGCTGCCCAGCAGGGAGGAGAGGAGATGGGGTTTTAACACTGACACCAACTAAACTGTCCACAGCTAAGAGAGTCACCAAGCATCCCTGTCAGTCTGTTCACTCAGGACAGACACCCGCAGGGTGAGCAGAGCGTCCCAACCTTGCAAGGTGCTCAAGTGGAGGGTTCGTTTTTCCTGGCACAGCACTCAGGCCTTCCTACCCCTCCGATACGTTTCAGTATTTTTAACAACCAGATATGGCAGGACCTTCTTGGGCAACCAACCGAAAATCAACAGCCAGATGGGTCCATGAGAAAAAGGAAAGGGGCTCTGAAAAAAGAACTCACAGTTGGAATCAGTGGTAAAGTTATACAATATATCATTTAATAAATATATAGAGACCACACAGGTCACAGAGAGACAGTCTATGTATAATGCTTTCAAATTAAACAGTCAGAAACATTAAATTTAGAGTAAATGACGGGATTTTCATTTTGATTTCCACTAGTTTGACTTACATAAAGCAAAACCTATGGGAAAGTTTGGCTAATCTTGGAAATGTTTTATTTGGTATTTGAGTTAATATTACTTATTTAATATATCATAGTATCATTAGAATTTTTTTCTATAAAAGATGTAAAGGTTTATGGATAAAACAATCTTAGAAATACAAAGCTTGAAAAATATAAAGCAGAAGTAAACATAAAGAATATATGTAAGATATAAACTTGCGGAAGGATGAAATAAGAACAGACAAAGCTAGAATGCTGGTGACTGAGACAAGACTCTGTAAGAGGAACCCCCGGGGAACGTTTACTGGGGTCCCATCCCAAGTCTCTAAGTACTAGAACGATATATGTTCAGTTCCTGAAGCTTCCTACAGGCCTGCCCTACTGTCTGAACACCTTGGAGTACATGTCTGAACATATCTGATTAAACACAGAAAATATCAGGGGGTAGGAGAAAAGAGGTACAGTACACTGGAACGGGGCTATGATGAAAAACCAAATCCACCATTCCATAATGGTGCTTCACTTATTCAACCTCCTCAACTCTCTCAAGGAGAACAGAAAAGGAAGCTTAAAAGTCTCTAGGTGACAAGATAAATGTCACAAAGGTCATGCACTAGAACTGACAGACGGACCTGCAGGGAAATGGTTCCAGTCTTTGGCCAGCGCTTCTTAAGCACTGGTCTGTGATTATCTGTGTGGTAATAAAGAGGCTTTGAAGCTGCGACCTAGGCAGGGTGGGGCTGGGCTTGGTCTGGCAGGCACTGGCACACTGGCACAGCAGGAAGAGAAAGCTGGCACTGAAAATCCAAACACAAGACCTAGGCAGGGGCACCCCAGCCGACCACGGTCCCCAAGGACATCGCCCCGCCTGCCACAGAAACCTTGGAAGGAAAAGGCACACACCACCCCTGATGCCCACGAGATAACCCTCACTGTGGCATATTCCGCATCAAAACTCAGATCTGTGGGTGAAGTGAAATCACTCGCCCAGATCACGAGGGAAAAGGGCATTAATTACTCCAACAGTGTATGACTGCCATCCATGTGGGCTACATGCAGTGGAGAAAAGGCTGTGTTTTCTTTTGCTCTTCAATACATATGATTCTTTGTCATGCAACTAAGCAACATTATCCCAGAACTTAATATTTCACGGTAGATATTCTCATCTACAATCAAGGCCTATTGATATTAGTATTTTCCCCACAGTCATACGGGAAATTTGTAGGCAAGAACCCTCCAAGCAATACAGTGTTAACTTCTATCTCTTCCGATAAATCCAGAGACCCTTGTTGTATGTTCTAGACTGCAGGCTTTAATTCCAGGTGAAGCCAAGGACAAGGGCTACGCAGGAGTGGTGAGGAAGTGGCTGAGTGGCTGCAGCACACGCCCCTCGTGCATGAAGTCTGGGGTTTGAGCCCCAGCTCTGGAAAAAAAATGGAATAAGGGGAGGAAGAGGAAAAAGACCAAAAAGTGATACTGTCACAGGTTAAAGCTGTGTTTACAGACACGTGTCAAGCTTCGAAGTTCTGCAGTAGATCAAAAACCAGGAATTGATCCCTAAATTTGGATTGTGTCCACTTTAAACCCACATACCTAGCACTGGCTACGGCAAAGCCTCCGCCAGCAATTTCCATGATGACACCAAGATGGGGCTGAAACAGAGCAGGCTGCAAGTTCAAGTGAGTCAACACCACTGAAAGCCTGTGTACTCAGGAAAAGACAGCACGGTGGGGAGGGTTCCTCAAAAGGAGAACCAGCTCTTCAGTTCGCAACAGATCAATTCGGACATTTCATATGTAGCACTTGGAAGACCTTGCATAAAACAATGCAAGGCACAAACTGGGCCCACAGCACTTTGTGTGTGGTATTGCAGGAGAGGGTTTAAACTTACAGAATGAGAGAACTGTCAGAACCAAAGGAGTAACAAGACAATTAAAAAACAGTCCTAACTCAGTATGAGGGCAAGAAACACCCAAACAAGGACATGGAAAATGGTAACACTGAAGGGGAAGAGGAAGAGAAAGAAGCTGCCATTCCAGCAAATCTGGTCACATTCCAGGGGGATCTTCAGCACCCACCTGTTATCCTCAAATCTTGGAGCCCTGAAGGCACATAAAAATCAACCTGAGCATGTGCAGAAAAATAGCTCTATGTTGCCCCCTAGTGCTGGCCAGACCCGCTTCTCCTTAGGCTACACGCCCCAAGGTGAGCGGTTTCTCTCCTCCACCTCCGGGACCAGCCCTCCAGAGCTAAACACAGCCCATCCTCTGCCCACGGGTGAGGGAACATCCGCTATTTTTACCAGCATACATCTCAGGAAGAGCGATGGCAAAAGAGCGCGCGTGGCCTGGCTCAGTGAATGCACCTCTTTGGAGGGTGTGAACCTGCTCCTCTGAGTAGCCAGGGCCTGCAGGCTTCCTGAAAGCTCCAGGTCCTCTGCAAAGCATGCTGGCATCTGGGTCACGAGGGTTAGAAGAAGGAAAGGACGGAGTGGCCCAGCAGCCATGCAATCCCGGAGACGCCAGGTCTGCGGGCGGAGAGGGATAGGATGCTGGAAGGGAGGCCAGGGTCGGCGTCGCGCACTGCTGTCATTACAGAGACGCGCGCGCCCCTCAGACGCAGGAATCTGAACTGGACATTTATTCTACACGCAAAGAACAAAGGTCAGCCTGACCCGCTTCCTGCCTAGGTACAGCTAGTGCTGCGGCTCCTGAGGTCACCTCCCCAGCTGCCCTCCGCAGAAGCCCGAGTCCTCAGGTGCCCGCAACGCTCAGCACTCAGCGCTGGAAGGAGCAGTGGCCTTAACGTCGGCTGGCAAACGGAGCCCGACAAGCCCAGTGACACCCCAGAACTCCTTATTCTTGTCTGCTCCTGTAGCCAGGACTTCGTGTTTTCTCAACGATGAGCACTACAGAGTTTACACGTAGAGCTGGGGGGAATTCAAAGAGTTTTATTCCGCCCTAGGGGAATAAAAAGCGCCTTTAAAAAGTGTCCACCCGTGCCGAGGGTCGAAGGGCGCTGTGCGCGAGCGTCTCACCTGCAGCTCGCGTGGACACACGCAGCACAAAGCTGGGAATCGCTTCTTTCCAAGGAGAGCCTGAACTTATAAGCAGGGCGTTTAATGTTCCAATGTCGGACAGCCTACGTGAGCCCTGCGGCTCCGTGTGCACTGCAAAGTTTCTCTTTACAAAGGATTCTGAAAAATGACTTCGTAAAGGCCGACGGAGAGGAAAGGAGCCTGGAAACTGAATGATGCGAATCATATGGGGTTCAGAGGCCAAGCAAATCACCCCTGAAGCCTCCCCGGCTCTATGAAAGGAGCCTTTCTCCGGCCCTGTAATCCCGGCCCAGGGGACTCGCACCCGCGTTCTCTAAACACTTCGGGTACACTTGGGAGCCGCGAGGGACCCTCCCTCCCCAGGCGGGGTCCAGCCGCGGCACCCAGGCAGCAGTCGCTCCCCAACGCGCACCGCACAGCGCCGGGGGCGAGGCCGCAGAGCACAAAGCGCGTTTAGAAGCGCAAATACCTGCAACGGAAACGCGCTTCCCGCCGCCCGAGGCGCGCACCCGCGGGGCCCCGCGTGTTCCCGACCCACTCGTTAACCGGCGCCTCCCCGGGGCGCTTCCGCGAACGCGGCCGCGCGCCATCCGGGCCGGGCTCCTGCATGGGACGCGGCCCTGCCCCGCCGCCCGCCGCCGCCCGCGCTCACCGTTGTGCTCCTTGGCGCCGCCGCCGAGCTGCAGCTTGGCGCCCGGGCTGGGCTCCGCGCGGGTCGCGGGTCTGCGGCCGGCCAGCGCGGATGCGAGCAGGAGGAGGCCGAGGAGGAGCATTGGGCCGCCGGGCGGGGCCGGGCCGGGCCGGGCGCGGCTCAGGGCCCGGGGAGCGCGGCGCG